AAACTACGAACAAATTTTCTTTTTCAACAAAATTGCCGTTTTTTAAGATCTGAACATTGACCTAGATGATTAATCGAAATTTATAGTAAGCTAGACATACTTTGCTTTGAAAGAGGAGTACAAAATCGAAAGAAAAATTTAAAAAACTAACAATTTTTCTTTTTTGTAGAATTTTTTTCGTTTTTATTCCAACCTGTTTGCTCGCTTTTTTCATTCGACTTTAGACTGAAAGACAAAAATTTCTCAACACTGGGAGACATTTTTGGAATAAAAAAAAAGCGTTCCAATCACGAGTAAAATGGTTTTAATTTGATATTACATTCAACCCAATCCAATTTTGTTTGTGTTACTTGAGTATGCAGGAAAACCTATATAATCTAAGTATTCCACTCTCATAAGCCAAAGGTTCTAAATTACAATCAATCAGGCTATGCTTTGAAGCTTGCATTTGAGACCGGTGTTCAGGAAAGTTATTGTTTTTTTTTGCAAATTTATGGTTGGATGAGCCACATCACTTTATTGTTTACGAAATGCCCTAAAAGATCTCGTTCTGTTATTGTAATAACGCAATGTTGCATGAAAAAAGGCAAAAAATGTTTGCTCGGTGTTTTTTCAAACCTTTTTGTGCTATTAATTCATACACGGTAATTTAATCTGATTCAAAACTCCTTCCAAATTGACTGATAAAAGCTTTTTTTTGTTCCTACTTTCGATGAAAGTGACTAATTTTTATGCTTGGGCTGTTTTTTTATACACAGACCCGTTTCACAAAAATTGACTGTGCATGGATATTGAATAATACGCAAAAGCAAAAAACTTATGCGTGGCAAATTGTCCGAATTCATAATCGTTCAAAATGAATTGAGGCCAAAATAACTGGTCAATAAGTTCTACTCAACTATTGGTACTTGCAATTGATATGGAAGTTTTGAAATTATAGTGTATCAAAATTTCATTGAAACAAAACTATCCGAGACCACCTACGAACATTCAGGGCTTTGATATACGAGCAGTCGTGTTTTTTATACGCTACTTACATCACTTTGTACTTTAGATGACGTGCCAGTAAAAGGTTTTCTAAAAAAAACTGGATCAAATTTCAAATTGTTTTTCAAAAGTTAAACATTTTGCCATGTTGTTGAACAATGCCTTTTTTGACCGAAGATTTTATATAGCACTGCTAAAAGCGTAACGTGACTTAATTATGCGATTTAGTTCTCGCAGTCCAATTTGTTCGAAATTGAAAGAAGACTGCTCGTATCAGAACGAATCCCTGAATGTTCTGACTGCCTGCCTTTTAAGATCTATGGAGCAGTAGTAACATAAGAAAATTAAATGTAATAAAATGGAATGAAGTTTTTTTTTCTAAAATTTGAAACTTTTTTTTATGAAATCATCCCACCACACGCCATATAAAATACAAAATAATAGATTTCGCGCCTGGTAACAAATCAATTATGGCAAATAAAATTCTTTCAACCAAGTTGGAACGATTACTAAGACAGATTAAATCTCCGCTTAAGCGTTAACAGCGCAAAATTTGTCGCGCGTTAATTGTCCCAAATTGGCCAAAATGGCAATCTTTAAACCCCCATAATTTTACGAAAAATGATCACAGGTGAAATATTGTTTCAAATTTAATCTCAAGACAACAATACCTTTTGAATGATATATAAAAATTCCGTCAAAAATGGCTAGTTAAAAAGTCGAAATTTGTCTGAAGAAAAAAAACCCACCCCAAGCACAAATATTCCGTTACTTTTGTATCGAAAGTCGGAACAATAAGACAAACTAATTGGTCGAATTAGTTCATAATCATACGACACAAAGTTTAACGCTTAAAACTTGATATTTTTTTAATCCAAATTTATTGTAAATCAATTTTTTTCAACCAAAAACCATTAGAAACCAGTAGAACATCCATCGGAGCATTTATCACGTTGCCCTGATGTAGTAGCAACATTAATGTACATTACATTGGGTGGCGGAGATGAAGTTCGTTTTAAGAAATGAAAAAAGATCCCACTTTCTCCTCATTTCAGTTAATGATAATTCAAAACTTCTAGAATAAATTTTTTGGAAGGAAGATCACAATTTTTAAATAAACATTGTAGAAAAATTGGTCAAATTTAGCACTTTTTGATAATCCATTCGAATTGGATATTTTACCGAAGTAAGCGACAAATAAATTTAACAATGTTTGAAAGTGGACCTGGTCAAAAAAACTTAAGAAGTGAAAACACCGAGTACCTTGCTTTTGTGTTATATGTAGTCTTAGTCTTGTCATCTTATGAAACTAGTTGGGTCGTCAAAAAGTCAGCTAAAAGTTAAGAAACACAGCAAGGCAAGCTTTTTATCTGAGCTAGAATACATATTGCCATCAAATTTTTAACGAAGTTACAGAAAAAAAAAACAATAAATTCTGAATCTTGTTTTCACCACTCAGTAAATATCCTCTAACTCTTTGCTTATTCCAAACTGATTTCAATAGTTTTTTTTTGGGGGGGGGACCATATTAAACAATTCGCATCATTTTATGTCAAACCCATAGCTCTCATTTTTCAACTACTCGTGAATTTAAATGGAGGACCATATTTGGGTTCTTTCCCATTACTAACATTGAATTTATAGCCTCTTTACTTTCAAGGTTATTGCAGCGACAAACGGTTGATTAATAAGGAGTGAATTAATGAGATTTGAGTGATAATTTCAGTAGCAAATCAGATCAAATATATATGGTAAATCACCCGCACAAAGTTGTTCGAACCAATGACTAAAGGTCATGTTTCACCAGCTAATTTTAACAAAAATCGGGAAGTGATCTTTCAGTTTGAACTGAATAAGAAAGATCAATTCCAGTTCCATTAGGAAAAATCACCATTACCCCGCCTTTCAAATTAGGTGGTTCCTAGTAGTATGTCTCGGAAAAAGCAGTTTTGCACTTTCCCAGGTTTTTCGTCAATGCGTCGGCAGGCATGTTTGCTGTTGGTAAAATGGTTAATGTCACCTTCTTCTGTTTAACTAACTCTCGAAGGAAGTGTAGTTTTATGGCAAAATGCTTCGTCTTGCCGTGGTTCATTGAGTGTTTACTAAGGGCAATACAAGCTTGGTTATCAACGAAAACTTCTAAAAGCCTATTACAAAGTATGCCTAAGTCGCTAAAAATGCCCTGTAAATGAATTCCTTCCTTTACTGTTTCGACCACAGCATTGTGTTCTGCTTCGGCTGTTGAAGTTGATACACAACGCTGAAGTCTGCTAGACCAACTGATTACCCCTGAGTTGTCACTGAGTTTAAAACAATATCCTGAGGTACTTCTCCTATTGTCTATATTTCCAGCCCAGTCCGCATCCGAATAGCTAACAAGATTCAAGGCCTTATCCCTCCTGTATACTAAAGGTAAACCTTTTGTTCCTAGCAGATATCTAAGACAATTTTTTCCGGCTTTCCAATGCTTTTCACCTGGGTTTTCCACAAAAGAACTTAGAAGATTTGCTGCAAAGCAAATGTCGGGTCTACTTGAAAAAGCTAGGTAATTTAGACAACCAACAAGTCCTCGATAGTCACATTTTTTTATATTTTCTTGTTCTATGCTACCTTCTAAAGGACAATCTTCCTTTGTCAATTTTTCGTTTTCACCAATAGGGGTCATTATCGGCTTTGCTTCGGTCATCCTAAATCTTGATATCAATTTTTCAACATATTTCTCCTGGCTTATCCTAATTTCGTTTCCTGAGTAATCAATTTTCATTCCTAAGAACCATTTAAGATCACTTATCTCGCTTATCTCAAATTTTTCAGAGATATTGCTTTCAAACCAGCTACAGAAAATTTTGTCTGCTCCACAAACCACTATATCATCGACCCACAAGCAAATTAAACCTTCTATCTCTCCCTCAATCCTCCTAACAAACAAGCACTCATCAAAAACTGAATTTTCAAAACCTAATTCCTCAAGATAGCTTTTTAGAGTCCTATGCCAGTTTCTACCGGACTGCTTCAGTCCATAAGGACCTTTCTTCAGAAGACAAACTAAAGGTTTTCCTTCTTCATCAAACTTCTCGAACCCTTCAGGTTGCTTCATAAGAATTTCTTCATCTAGTTTGGCATTCAAGTAAGCAGTTTTAATGTCTAAATGTCTCAACTGATACCTATTTTGAACTGCTAAGCTCAGGATTATTCTTATGGTCGACATCTTGGCTGTAGGTGAATACGTTTCGTGAAAATCCCTTCCCTCAACTTGGCTAAAACCTTTAGCAACAAACCTAGCCTTAATCCTGGAAATTTCACCATTAGGTCCGTACTTCAAAGCAAAATGCCATCTGCTGCCTATAGGCTTCTCTCCTCTATTTCTAACTAGTTCCCAAACTTTGTTTTTCTCTAATGAATTAAACTCTTTTTTCATTGCTTCTTGCCGGTCAGGGTCTGCTAAAGCTTCCTTAGCACCTTTCCGTATATTTTCGAGAACTTCTCCAAAAAATACGTCATCACCTACTCTTTCTCCTTCGTCACTTTCTGTCTTTTTCTCAAAGTAGAACTTAGATTCGTCAAAACTAACGTTTCTAGACTTTTGCACTTTGAGTTTTCCTTCACTCTCAATTCCTATCAGATAAGCTTTACTATTTTCCGATGTCCCCCAGAAAAATTCCCCTTCTAGAGTTTTTGTCTAGTTTTTTGCGAAAGTGTTTTTTCACAAAACTATACGCTACACACCCAAAAGTTTTCACAAAATTAAGGTTGGGTTTTTCTCCATATATTGACTCGTAGGGTGTTTTGCCTATAGCAGAATGAAAACACATTTTTTTGAGATTAGCAGCCATATTAAGAGCATAAGGCCAATAAGTTTTCGATAAATTAGCATCAAAAATCATGCAGCGAGCCATTGGAGTAATTTTTCCCCACAAGCTTTCTATCTTTCCGTTCTCTTGAGGGGTATAAGGAGCCAATGTTTCCAGTCTTATTTTTTGTTTCCTAGAAACTCGCCTAAAATCTTGACCAATCTATTCTCCTGCGCCGTCTGAAACTAAAGTCTGAGGGACTCCTATGTCTGCAATGAACTTTTCCAACTTTTCTGTTGCCTCATCTCTCGTCTTCATGAAATAAATTTTCAGATATCTAGAAAAACTGTCCACAAAACCGATAGCATATCTATGTCCATCCTCTGCTAGCGGGCCTAAAATATCTGCGTGAACAAAATCTGGTGTCCTGGTTGCCCTGGTATAAGAATCTTTCGGGACTGGCTTCTTTTTTGCTTTATTCAACTCACAAGTTTCACAATTCTCAATTTTAAAATCACTAATCTTCATGCCTTCAACATGTTGCTCCAAATGACCTAAATCTTTGTAGTTATTATGACCCATCCTGCAATGCCACTGTTTCAGTGTGCTTACTACATAACACTCATCTTTTCCTACAAATGTGTCCCATAAAAAGAGACCACTTTCCTCTCTTAATGGGTAAACTGATCCATTTCCCTGGCGAACAAACGAGCTCGCACCAAAAACACCTTCTGCTCCTGCTATCTTCATTTTTGATACACTCAGAAAACTTCTTGAGTTTTCAGGAACGTACAAATTATCCTTCAGCTCAATCATCTTAAACTCGCCTTTCTCATCTTTTACTCTGAATCTAACTTCACCTTTCCCTAAAATTTTTGATTCAGAGAAATTTGCATTGCTAACCGATCCTTTGAAGTTCTCATCTAAACTAACAAACATGTCTCGATCCTTAATCATATTACTGGTAGCTCCAGAGTCTACAACTAAGTCCTCGCCCGGAGACACTCCACTCAGGAAACTAAAATGAGCCTCTGTTTCAGCTACTAGGTTCTGCTGTTCTCGTTTAGTCTTACTAATGAACTTTTTCTTTGCTTGGCAATATTTTGCAATATGTCCAAACTCCTTGCACTCATAGCACTGAATTTTTCGAGCTCTATCTTCACTATCTCGTCTGCTGCTTAAGTTTTCTCTGCACTGTTTCGACACATGTCCTCTTTTATGACACTTGAAACAAACTCTGTTCTCGCTATTAAAAGCATGCTCTTTTTCGATTACTTGTCTCTCGCTATCAAAATTCACTAAATCTCTTTTCAACTCATCTAAATTTTTCTCATCTCTACTAAACTTAGCTATAGTAGAAAAAGTTTCAAATTGTTTTGGAAGTCCTTCCAAAATAATTGAAATTAACATTTTTTCACTCATCCTTCGTTCACTTGTTCTAAGTTATACTGAATCTCCTCTGCTCTAGTCAAATAATCTATCACTGTTTCATTGCTATTCTTTTTCAAAGTTGTAAGTTCGGAGATTAGTTTTTGCAGCCTGGGTCTTTCAAAACTCTTAAACCTTTTCCGTAAAACATCCCAAGCTTTGCTACCATTGCCTTTATACGGTCTTAAAAACAAAACTGATTTCTTATCTAGAGCCTGCACAAGTTTGTACCAGATATGCAACTGTTTTTCTTCAAAAATCTTTTTTCCTTTATCTATCGCAGCTTGTTTTTGATCACTGCTTGCATTCGGTCTTAAACTTGGCATAAAGTTTCTATAATCAACTGACTCATCTAAAATCTTGTTTAAATTCAAGTGAAAAATTCGTGCCTCAAATTGCTCATCAAAGTAGCAAAAATCTTCTTCTTTTCTCGAAAAAACTATCCTATCAGTTTTCGACATTTCTTTCCTAATCCAAGTTCTTATTTTCGACTTAATTCTCACACACAAAAAAAAATAAGCAAAAAATTAAGTATTGCCCTAGGTAAAGTTCAATGACCTCGTTTTCTCTTACATCAAAATCATTTTCTATAAACATCGATATCGCCCGCTTATATAACTATGCAAGTATATTCGATTACCTAAATCTGATTTGGAACCTAACGGAGTGCGTACTGAATAACACATCAGCGACTTAGCAAAGCTAAGGTCCCTCCTCAGATTTCATACTAGGTAATATATATATTAGCAAAATAGAAACTCGTCTTTTTATTCTGGGGTATCAATTTCTTTTTCTTTTAATTGCAATGTATTCTTTGGATTGATTTTGTGTCGGATTCGAGCAACCGCGTACGAACGAATTTATCCTTCCGCAAAAATTGAGTATAAATCAGCAACTTTTACAAATAAAACATGTAACTTATCAGTTTGCTTCAGTTTTATTTCACTATCAATAGTGTAGTGCTTCTTCCACTGCTGTGCTCACTCAGTCCTCCTTCGTGCAGCTTTTGATCGTCTTCTCTTCTTCTCTGATGTGTTTCCCTGCTTCTATCGTCAGAGTTGTCTATCTCTAGAAGTTGTGTTGCCCTTCTTCTATCTTTGCACTTCTCTGTCTGATCAATTGTCTATCTCCAAGTAGTTTTGGCCTGCTTTTCTCGCAGTTGTCTAACTGATCAGTTGTATATTTCAAGTTGTGATTTTCACTGTCACAACTCCACTGCAAATCTCAGCTTTTTTCCTTATTCGTTTGAACAAACAGTCAATCTTGACTCCTGACTTTTCACTCGTTATTGGGCATCTGGGCCCATAACCTTTCAAGGTTATTGCAGCGACAAACGGTTGATTAATAAGGAGTGAATTAATGAGATTTGAGTGATAATTCCAGTAGCCAATCAGATCAAATATATATGGTAAATCACCCGCACAAAGTTGCTCGAACCAATGACAAAAGGTCATGTTTCACCAGCTAATTTTAACAAAAATCGGGAAGTGATCTTTCAGTTTGAACTGAATAAGAAAGATCAATTCCATTTCAATTAGGAAAAATCACCAATATCTACATTATGCGTTAGCCATTATTGCTAGGGGGGCTATAATGAAAAATGTCTTTTTCGGTGGCTGTAAACTAAAATGTGTTCATGCGTATCCTGAAATACAAGAAATTTGACTAAGCAAAATTAATTCGAGTTATACAATTTTTATAAGCACATTTTATGTAATCTCAAGAAAAAATTAGGAGTAGAACTTCCAAAATATTTTACATGAATTTATTCCAGAAACTCGAAAAAGATTTTAGAGAGTCTTAGCTTTAAATTTTCCATTTTTAAGCTTTCACAATGTTTTTATTTAAACAGATTTTTCGTAAATCAGTTTGAAAAATTAATCGGTTCCGAGGATTAAGATTAAATTTAATTTCATTTTTAAGACTCTACTATTGTTTTAACAACTATATCTTTTCTTGTTTTCTTGATGATAACATATTACCGTGCACTGAATCACCGCTGAATATAAGGGGGGGGGGGGGGGGGGGGGGGTTGGGAGAGTTTTGAGGTCCGTTATATTCAGTGCTCCTTGCTTGAGGGTGAGACAAATCTATTGAGCCAAGAAAAATCACGAACAATATTCTCAATCAGAACAAAAACAAAACATTGGTTCTCGGTTAAGAGCTAAACAACTCGTATATTGGTCTTTTCGCTAGCCCGGTTTCACCTCCAGTCTATACAAAACAATATGATTATCATGCAATTCCCTTAATGGAGTCTATGAAAAAATGCTTATCATGCTACTTCGATTTACGAAATCAGTATGACAAGCAATTTTTTGCAAACAAAAAACTGCGAAATCTGCAAATTTTGTAGCAGATAAGCAACAGCAAAAATTGCAACGAGAAATTGTGTGAAAAAACAAACTCACAGTGTAATGATGTGAACAAAGTTCCGGATGCAATGTAAGCTGTTGCTTGTCTGGTATGAAACACAAGTACAAAAAAAACATACGTTTGAAAAAGGTTTCTCGTTAACAAGCGATTTTTTCTTTCTAATTTGATTTGGTTGATTGTTTTCGGAAATTTATTGCACAAATGTTTCAGTTACATAATTAAAAAACTATGGCAAAATTTGAAACACTAGTGCAATATTTAAATATTGCACAAGTGTTTCATATTTTGCACTAGTTTTTCAAATGAAGCACGGAAACATATTGAAAATGTGTGTTTTATTCTTAACCTTCTGCAAATTTTTCACAAAAACTTTTTCTACAGAGCTGTATGATATGCGCATTTTTCAAAACGAAATATGCGTGACTAGCATTGTTTGTCAACCGGGTCAGTTGCTGATGAATGGAATGGTCTTTCATCAGGAGGCCAAACTGTGTGCTTCGTGGACTGTACGCGGATTCCGTAACAGGTCGAAAATAGAATTAGCGGAATCCGCGGAATATTTCTAGGTAGAATCCGCGCATATTTTGGAAGACTTGTCTCTGAATTCCCGTGACCTAAAGACAGCAAGTCTTTTGCCTATTAATCACTCGGTTTGGCCTCGCAATGTATAAACTGTTTAATTTCAGGACGGTTCCTGGTCTGATTATTTTTTTGAGGAGTGAGTTACGCGGACACTTACTAAAAAGGATGGAAAAAACGATCTAACTGAACTATTGGCCTCTATCACAAAAATGAGATTAGCGAAATTTGTCTAATTTTTTCGTCAGTTAAATGGACTAAGCAGGTTTTGGTTAATAATCTTTTTAAAAAAATTGGTCTCATTTTTTTGGAAATGATCATTTCAAAGTTTTGCTCTGATCTTTTATAGGTAATCAAACAGGTTAGAGAAACAAATCAAGAGCACCTTCAATTTTTGTTGAAAATTCACTACTTGACTGCAGTCTAACTTTGCCAAGATTCATGTCCGAACTCAGAACTTAATATGCTAGAAACATCTCCAAAAAACTTTTAAATTTTCAATAAAATAAATATTTTAGCTGAAAAAGTAAAATGACTGCTCATTTTTGTTCCATTGTATTTACTATATTGGGTGGGTTTCAACGGAATTAATCAACTCAATTGCAAATATTTCAGAAACTTTTGGTTTGCCTTTGATAATTTACACGTTATTTTTCGACTTAAGATGTTTTTGAACCATCTGGTACTAAAAAAAAAAAGAAAACTGGTGCTGAATGATACTTTTTTCACCAATAGTTGGTCTTCTTGGAAAAATGCACATTTGAGGTTAGACGCACTCGTTCAGATGAAAACGATTAAATTTTCTGGTTAACACACTCAAAAAAAAATCATTTCACAGCTTTACAACTGGTGTCGCGATGAATTATTGTCGAGTTGTATTCAACATATCGCTGGTGACCATCTGCAGTTTTCTCTACTGGCGGTGCTATAAAACTCTCAGCGGCTCGCTAACAATTACAAGAAGCGCTCTTTTAACCAAAGCGTTTGCTGGTATTTTGCTCTCGTGGGTAATTTTGGTATTACCGCATGAACTGTTTTACGACTTCAGCAGCAAAAGTATGCAAACTTATGCAAACGTAGGCATGGCGAATTTGATGATGATCTCTGTCGGTCGCACCTTTTCTGTCGCATCTATGCCATCAACCTAAGAACTACAAAAAAAACACTATTTAAATTTTTTTTGACCCTTTAGTCGGATGTGAATTTGCACAAAACACAAAGATGGCAGGCATGGCCTTCAATTTCAAACGGTTAATTGACACAACTAACAACTGATCAAGAATCTAATCAACCTAAGCGCTTAAATTGAACTTCATTTTTTAAACCAAAATGATTCCTTAAACAGCCACACTCAGGCTTTCAAAAATTTAGACCAAAAAGTTAGTTTGTACTAGCGTCAACTCATTTTGACATTATATCATTGGATGATAGCTATCCGAAAGAAAACAGCCTCCCCCATCCCGAGTTGTATGTAGTAATTCTCAAATAAGTAATCCATCATTTGAAAGAAAAAATATGTATGAATCATTTTCAACAATATCTCACTGAAAAAAAGTTGTTTAGAAAACAAGACTATAAGTGTATATATTAATGCTTGGGGTTATGTTAGAAGTTAAGAACAATTTGCGGATTTGCTTACAATTTGCGGAATTTGCGGATTCCGCTGACAGTTTTCTGATTCCATTGACAGTTGCGGATTCCTCATCAGCTTAAGTTTACGTAAGACATATATTATAATTTGTTTATGGATCCCACAAACTGTTCTGGGTTTCACACATTTTGTTGTGGATTCCGGAGTGGCCTATTTTTGGAGCAATTTTGAGTAGTACATTTTAAAAACTATGTCTGTGGAATCCAAAACAGCAAAGAAGATCAAAGAAAAGTAGCAAAACTTGGGATTCCGCAACAGTTCTGTTTTAGTTGCGGAATCCGCTTACAGTTCACAGAATGCGCAGTTTAACCTCGTATTTATCCTGATCCACCAGGGTTTTTAAGGATAACCGAACATCCTTTATATCGAGTATCGA